AGTCCGTGGATGACAAAAGGACTCATTAAGTCATCAAAAAAGAAACAAAAACTTTACCAAAAATTTTAAAAAAAAAAGAACTACAAAAATGAAATAAAATAAAAAAATATAAAAATTATTTCGAAAAGTTAAATAAGCAATAAAAAGAAAATTACTATTCCTTATTGCTTAATAAAACATTTGGAAATGCAAGAAAAACATGTAACGTATTTAAAGAAATAACAGGCGTAGGAAATGTAAAAATTGATAATTTTTCAAAAAGATTGCAATCAGATGGTAATATAGGAGATGTTTTTGTAAATAAAGAAACATTTAATGACTTTTATATAAATATAGGGAAAAAACTAGCCAGTGCAATTCCTGAGGGGAGTAAATCATTTGAATCCTTTTTGAAAAAATCAGATTCCATAATGGATGAGTCGGAGCTTCTGGCTGATGAACCTCGGCTAGCAATTACCCAGCAAACAAAAAGATATCTAAAATGCATCTAAAAACTGGTCTAAAAGATGTTTAAATTCAGGTCTAGAACGGGACATAAATAGACGTCTATCTTGTAGACGTCTTTTAGATGCATTTTATTCGACACAAATAATTGCCTTAGATGCATAAAAGATGTGAAATATACATCTTACAGATGCATATTAGATGTATAAAATACGTCTCTTAAATAGATGTCTAAGGCGCGTTTAAAAAAGATAGATAATAGATAATTTTTTAGCTAATAATAGCTCTTTTATGCATCTAATATACATCTTTAAATGTATATTTCGCATCTTTTATGCATCTAAGGCATTTATTGTCGAATAAAATGCATCTAAAAGACATCTATAAGATAGACATCTATTTATGTCCCGTTCACGACGTGAATTTAGACGTGGTCTTTTAGACCAGTTTTTAGATGCATTTTAGATATCTTTTTGTTTGCTGGGACTTGTTTGATACAAAGGTGTTACAGCGGTTAAATTAGTCATAAAAAAGGATTAAATTAAATAAGTAAAGAAATATTTTAACTAACATTACTTAATTTTTATTTCACAAAAATATACATAAGAAACTATATTTCTGCATTGTCGTCAACATTTTCTTCCACGTCGCCGATATCTAAAATATATACATTAATGACATTTGAATGACTTTAAAAGACATGTAGAATTCTGAATCTATTTTTATGAAATATTATATATATATATATATATATATATATATATATATATATATATATATATATATATATATATATATATATATATATATATATATATATATATATATATATCATATATATATATATATATATATATATATATATATATATATATATATATATATATATATATATATATATATATATATATATATATATATATATATATATATATATATATATATATATATATATATATATATATACACACACATACAGTATCGGACAAAACCAGTGCAACCAAATGATGCTAATTTAGTCTCTTTGTATAAAAGTGCTGCATTTTTTCAATTTAGAGAAATAACTATGTAACTGTTTAGAGACAACGTTCTTCACATTTTATTCATCACAAAGTTCATTATTTGTACACGAAAATTAATATATTAATCAAAAGAATTAAAAAAAGTTGATTTCCTTCTGGACAACACAAGTGCAACTCCACAAAATGTTGACCAAGCTGTATTTTTCTATTTATATTTTGTGGTGAATCCTTTGTTGTCGATCACAGCCTTGCATCTTTAAGGCATAGATTCGATCAGGTGATCAATGAAACTTTGTGGAATCGCTGCCTAGGCCTTTTGGATTTGTTTAAACAGTTGATCCTTATTACGAACACATTCATGATTAACTCTGCGGTTAACGATCTCCCACAATCCATCATCAATAGATGGTTGTCTTGAAACCACTGCTTGACTACTTTTGCAGTGTGTTTGGGATCGTTATCTTGCTGAAAAACCTATTTTATTGGTATATTAAAAAACTTCCGTGACGTTGACACGGACCAGACTTGAGAAAATGAAACAAACCAAAAAAGTTGCACTTGTTTTGTATGCTGTAAAATGGCACTTGTCAACAAAATTCTGCCTGTGTGCTGTCACCTGTCAGCTGATTGCTCATATCATGGCATGCTATGACTCCAGACTCCTGAACTGTTTGTTGTGGTAGTATAGTTCGTTTCATTTTTAAGACATATAAAATTAGGAACACTTTATAGCATTGTTCGATGTTGGTTGCAAATGTTTTGTCCAATACTGTATATACACATATATACATGTGTGTATATATATATATATATATATATATATATATATATATATATATATATATATATATATATATATATATATATATATATATATATATATATATATATATATATATACAAGAAGATTTGTATCTCAACCAGATACAATAATAAACAACAATTTTTTTATGAAAAAACTAAAGGAACTTGTATTATGGATACAAAAATTCTAGCATGACACAAAAAAGTCGAAGAATATCTTTTTAATACAGATATCAGTTTTGTAAATACTATTAAAACTATACCTCGTAAATCACTCCATATATTTACTAGATTTTCTAAGCTTATCTTTTCCCCATTTCCTTTTTCGATTAAATTTGGACTGTAACTGATTCGAAAATAACCTGATAAATATTTTAACAATAAACTGAAATATATTTATAAAGATTTTTATTTTAATATATGTAATAAATTATAATATATATTTTAATATATGAATGCTTAAAATTATGAAAAGTAAAAGCATTAAATTTGAAAATAAAATGCTAAACAAGGTTTAGCATTACACTTACTTTAGCACACAAACAAACTTAAACACCTACAGTGAAGCTCCCGAGTTTATCAAATTGTCATGTTAAAAGTAAATCCATAACAAATAACGGTCAAAATGAATTGCTTTTGGTCCCTTTTAATCATATTTCTAATAATTAATAAAAACATAATGATTTACCTTTTCATGATCAAAAAAACATCTTCTCTTGGCTTTCCACCATTAATCTTTTTCAAACTATCAAGCTGAAATAAATGTAATAAAAACTAGTGTAACTTAAATTTCTTTACAACATATTGAGTCTAACACAAGCTAGTTATTTTAGTTCATTTACAAATACTTTTCATTTAGATTCTAAACTAGTAAACCAAATTTAAACAAACTTATTAAAAATTAAGATAATTAGATTATACCAAATTAGTATACTCGGTTTTATCTTTTAGTTTATTATCCAGTGTAACCACTTCGTCCACTGATTCTAGCAACTTCACCCCAGTAGCCTGAAACTTAATTTCTATAACTTCTTTTAAAAGAACTTTTATTTCTGCAAGCTCGTTGAGAATAACATTTTGCATCTCTACAAACAAGAATAAAAAGATTGATTAACATATTTAGCTCATAAAACCAAATAGCAAAACAATGAAATAAGAACTTTAAAATTCAAATTATGCTTGAGTAACTCAAACTAAAATTCCAAAAATACATGTAAGTTTTTTTATTACTCCATCGCAGAAGTTGCCATAATATTTTGGAAAAACTACTTTTTAAATCAGCTAAAACTTTATCCTGTAAAAGGTTACGATATTAAAGAATTTTGTTTAACTACTAAAGGTAAAATGTTGCACACATGATTTATCGGATCACAATATTATAAATAATCCATTTCTATTCTTTTATACCTATCTTTTTTTGTATTAAAATAATACAATTATTTTAATACAAAAACAAATTAATAAAAAAGACCTCCACATTAACATTCAGTGGTGTAAAAACCAAAAATACTCATATTAAAACTTGAAACTCTTTGACAATGTGAACTTTGTTTTGTTTTATTCTGTTCATCAATAAAATGTGAAGAAAAATTATCTTCTTCAATCTTTGAATCTGATAACAATTCTATTCAAAAGAAATAATTATAATTAGAACTATAAATAATCCCTCAACCATACCTGTTACTTAATTTAATCTTTCAACCAATTTTGTACTCTTTCAATTTCTGAATTTAAACAATTTCAGCATGCTTTCAATAAATTTTCAATTTTCATATCAAGGTGATTAAAGGATTATTTAATACAATAGAATGTGGTCAATCATATAAATATATGTAACCAATTTAACAACATTACAAATAACAGGACACCCAAATAGTTAAAATAAAAGGAAAATCTTAGTAATACATAAAAAAGACTAATAGCTAGATAGATATTATTCAGATCAAATTAAACAAGAATCTATTTCAGTTTAAAAACCATTAAGAAAAAAATATGATATTTGTGTTATACTTTTAGCATTGGGCTTATTCATAATAGGTGGCGGAGGTTCTGGCAATGAAGAGCGGTATGATTTGTTATTCTTATTTTTAATGCTTTCTTTAACATATATTTCATCTGATGTAGAAAGTTGTATTCTTCACAACATGAAAATGAATCTAATTATAAAACATTTTGCTACAAAAAAGTAATGAAGTTACCTTTAAAAAAAAATACAAAACAAGCTAGATACTGACTATCTGTTATCTTACACTTTATTAATGGAAATTTGTGCCATTCTTTTGTTGACAAAAGGTTTTTTTTCAGTGCATGATTATAGTTTTTTTTTGGGACAATAAATTTGTTGCTATTCTTTGTCAATCCACTTGTTTAGTGCATAATTACTTGGTTAGAAAAACATGCAGAAAAACTTTCCTTTAAAGTTGGGTTATGCTTATACTCATTAGACTTTTGGTCATAAGAGTATTCATTGTACAAAATCGATGACTCATGATGGTCAAAATATTCTTTTAGATTTTCGCAAGATAAGAAATCATTTCTTTTAGAAGTTCCAACATTCGATTTTTTTTTCTATATTTACTGATGAAAACTCTAGTATTTTTTAATATTTTTTTTAGACACGTCTACTGCGTCTCTTTTCATATGCCCTTTTTGTAAAAGACACAAATGAATCTTGGTTCCTCGATAAAAACGATAAGTGCACAACCAATATATACATATATATTATATATATGAGAGTGTTCATGTTCCGAGATGAGATCATCCATTTAAGGTAATGAAGTTACGTAAGAAATTCGTTTTGCGAGATATCATGCGAGTTGTCGACAAAGATTCTTAAATGTAATGTAATTTACCTAATATTTATTTATCTAATTATGGTAAAACCTATTGTATATAGCCTATTGTATAGAAGATATACTTTTGATCAGCATTACAAGTAAAGTATTGTTTGTTTTTTTTAGACATTTGATATTCGAAAATTAATGATATCGTACTTTCCGCATTACTTTTCCAAACTACTCTGTGCCTCTTGAAGAGGTACTGGTTGGTTTTAAAAAATAAAGAAAAGTAAGTAGAGGCTCTTGCATGCAAGGCGTACTGGTTGTTGTGCAGGTGTAATGTATAATATTGTAAACCTTTAAAGTTTAAGTATATTTTTGGTATCCTAACAATGTCAACTATTTTTAATATATTTAAATACTTGTATGTTCATTATTACAATAAACTTTATTGCTATTATAAATATTTAAATATATTGATAATAGCTTAAATATACAAATATTTAAATATTTAAATATATTGATAATAGTTGATATTGTTAGGATAGTTAAAATCAGGCATAATTACATAGATAAACAATTTTTATAAGTTTTCCTAACATTATATCACAAAATTAACTCAAGTTCTCATAATACCTATGAAATTATAATTGTAATTTTTGATATTTTAATAATATCAACTAATATAATGTATTTAGTTTTTAAAAAATGATTTTTAAAATTGTTTTAATAATTTATACTGATTCTATATTTAATTTTTTTACTTTTTTTTTTAGTTTGACACTAAAAAGATCTTTAATTATTTTCTACTAACAATTCATATCCTTAACAATGGATCTCAATAATCCAATTAATATATTTGCCGTTCAAGATAATAGTAGTATAATAAGCCAGACTATAATTGATCATGTGGTATTATTTTTTAATCATGTTGATAAAATTTATTAGTAATACATTTATTATTTAGTTATTTCATTATTATTCATTATTATTGATATCATATAATAATTCAAGAAGATATTATATAGTTGTTATTAATTATAATATAATTATTATCATTTAATGTTAGCTCCTTAAAATTCGTGTATTTTATGTGTTAATTTTCTAATTTATGCCAGTTATATGAAGAAATATAATGTTCAATTTTATTTGTTCCATAATTTTATCTTGGTTTTTGAGACAGATGATATATAATTTTGATAAATAAAACTTTAATAAATTGATAAATAAATTGCATCATTATTATATTCAGATTCCATTGGAAGAAGAATATAGTGTGGATTTTAATGTAGAAAAAGATGAAGACAAAAAAGGTAAAACTTATGCATATTATCATGCTTTCTGTACACATATATATATATATATATATATATATATATATATATATATATATATATATATATATATATATATATATATATATATATATATATATATATATATATATATGTATATGTATATATGTATATATATATAGATATATAGACATAGATATAGATATAGATATATAGATATAAATATATAGATATAGATATATAGATATATAGATATAGATATAGATATATAGATATAAATATATAGATATATAGATATATAGATATAGATATATAGATATAGGTATATAGATATAGATATATAGATATATTGCGCTTGATCCAATACATCTAAGGTGCCTGTTAAGAAATAACTTGTTCTTAACAGGCACCTTGATTTCGGACTACTTTACCACCTTTGTATTTACTTTATTATTTACAAACCAGAAAAACAGAAAATTATATAGTAAAGTTTACACAATAGGTGATATATATATATATATATATATATATATATATATATATATATATATATATATATATATATATATATATATATATATATATATACATATATATATATATATATATATATATATATATATATGCGGTAGTGGTATAGTGGTAGAGCGCTCGCCTCAAGCAAAAAGTTCCAAGTTCAATCCCTAACCTGTCCCTGGTAGTTAATTGGCAACATCATTTTTCCTAATGCCAAGGGTTGATATATTAGGGCGTGATATGGGCCACCTATTTTCTAAAAAATATCTTTTCATATTCCTTAAATTTTTTATTGGTTCTGATAAGCAACTTTGTTAAACTTGTTCAAAATTTAATTGGATTTAGGGGGATAACCAGATCCATGAACGCTTACCAGGTCCCTAATATTACATAAAAAAAGTTTTTCAAAAGTATGTCACGGTATGAATGTGGATGTCACACCCTAATATATATATATATATATATATATATATATATATATATATATATATATATATATATATATATATATATATATATATATATATATTTGGGTGGTTGTAAAAACAACTTTTTGTGCTAACGTCCCCTAAATGTATTCTTAATTATAAAACAAAACTGGATTTAAAGGTTTTATTTAGTAATGATAGCAATGAAGAATTTAAGTAAATGTGGTAGCAGCATTGCAGTTGAAAATGCTTTGGTACACAATATCATTATGGTTCCTCCGATTCTTCAGGTAGAAGAATCTTTACTATCTCTTGGTAGTCATGGCAATGTCGATGGAGTTTTCTACTGCCTTTTAATTAAAGTTAATGCTTTAGGAAAAGAAACTTATTTGGCTAGGTATTTTTTTGAATTTACTTTCAGCAAGTATTTTCTTTCCCTTGAAAAACACGGCATTCTTTTTCTCCTAAACAATGGTCACTTTAAAACATTTTTTCTGTAGATTCATTTCAAAAAAAAATTTTTAGAAAATGTTTATTGCTGGCTCTTATTACTTTTTTTAATTTTCTAGTTCTTTGTTCTAATTTCAATTTTCTTTTCCAATCTCACATTGTTTTATACTTTTTTCAATTTTTTTGATCATTAGATATTTTGAGTTTGGCAGTTTTACTGCATACTTTGATAATATTGCACATGGAAAGCTGAAAAAAGATTTAATGGTTGATGAAATTCTTCCATATTGTGTATTTACAATAAAGGATGTTGATATGGAACTTGCATTAAAAAAAGAAACTTTTGGACACAGAACTAAGAGTGGTATTTGATTAGGGATTGTCCATAAATTATGCAACGCAAAATATATTTAAATAACAAAAGTAGTAGATATTAAGCTTTTTTACAATTTTCATTTAACTTATTGGGGTATTTTGATTTTATTTAAATTAAGACTCTGCGAGGGAAAACTTTTGATCTTTTTTGTTTTGTTCATTGTGAAAGTTTGCGTTACATAATTTATGGACGATCCCTTACGGATTTTTTGTCAGAATGCAAATTTCTTTTTGCCTTAAAAAAAAATTAATACACAATAATTATATATGTATATGTATATATATATATATATGTGTGTGTGTGTGTGTGTGTGTGTGTGTGTGTGTGTGTGTGTGTGTGTGTGTATATATATACACACACATAATTTATCTAAAAACCTAGTTTTTGTATTTACTTAAAATTAAAAAGACAATGTTTTGTTAGGTTTTTTTATAGGTAGCAAAAGTCGTATTCACAAAAGCAGAACTTTTAATCGTTTGATATATGAGTGCAAAGGTGGCCTAAATGAGAGTTTGAAAAAACTAATAATTGAGCTTGATAAAAACAATTTTTGCGTTTGCTACCATCTAATTGCTGCGTGTCTTCTTAAAGACCAATTGTGGGAGGGTGTTAATCAAGGAAACAAAAAGTATGATACTGGATTTTCTGTATTTTCTTTCTAATTTGATATAATTACATTAAATATATGCAGCAATACATAATTATAGTATATAATATTTAATAGTATATTTCCTAACAAGACTAAGTAAGGCTTAAGATCTATGCTTAATACTTACTTAAACTCTCAACATCTATAATTCAAACTTTACATAAGAAATTATATTTAACATTAATGATTTTCTTTATATACAAACTTTTCTGAATTGATTGGTTTATTTATCTATCTACTAATTTTATTAGGTATTTCATTTGCCAACCTTCAGAAAAAGCAGAAGAATGGGAGACTTCGCTTATGCTTCACCGAAGTAACCCCCAGGGAGCTTCAAGGTATGGAAAACTTTGGACTTCTTTAATAGAAAACCCATCAATAGAAGACCAATTCAGAATTCTGTCAGATCTTCCTAACCATCATAAATGGATGTGGGATAAACTTGTTAAAGGTGTAAAATATGAACAGAAGTTTTCAAATTCATGCAGATATTTTCCTGGTTCACCCAGAAACAGAATTCTTCAAGCCTCTTTTTATCGAGTTACCTCTGATAACATTATTGTATCCATTTTAAGAAATGTTTTTGGTGTTAAAGAGACAGTTGTATATCCATCTAGAAAAGAAAACTTATCTCTAATAGTGTCAAAAGCAAAAAAGAGTAGGATATCTAAAGAAAGTTTTCTTGACCAAGTTAGTATTTAAGAAAAAAGGTTTATTATAATTTTTATTATTTGTTAATTTCTTTATCGATTTGTTGTAGGAGTTTCAATATAATGATTTGCATTGTGGAAAAAAAGTAGTTACAAACAATATTGGCATCACAGATTCTATTAATGAGGTAATTTGAATAGCAATTAAATAGAATCAAAAAAAGATACGTTAAAAGTTTTTTTTAAATCTACTTTTTTCTTTACTTTTTATATTTTTTCAAATATTTTATTCCAAATAATTTGCAGAAAACAACAATTTTTGTTTCAGGTTAACTTGGTTCAGCATTTAAGTAAAAGAAACAGTCTCTATGAATACTTTTGTGCTGAACTTTTTAGTCATGGCGTTCTTTGTTGGCGTGTTCGAAAACCGTCTCTTAGTATATGTGTTATGAACAACTACAATCACGAGAACGGGAACTTTCAAGTAGGTTTAAATTTTGTTTTTTTATGCAAATAGATTTATTAACAGTATATAAATATAGTAGTAATATGTAATTGTAATATATAAGTAATATGTTTAATGTTATAACAATTTAAAAATTTATTTCTAAATAAGGATAAAGAATTTGTTCATGTAAAAGCTGAAACAATGTGTTCTACTACAATATACAACTGCTCCTGTAAAACATTCTCATCATGTGTTTTTTTTCAATCAGAAAATTTGACCAATGTAAATAATTGTTGTCATTGTCGTCTGTTAAACCAGCTAATGCAAATGCTTGATAATCCTGATTTCATCCCAGAAAATAGTTTATTAAACAAAAAAAAACTTATGGATAGTTTAATCTATCTCAAATCAAATGTTTTTAAGTTAACTTCAAAATCGGGAGTTGAAAGATATTCGGTAGTTGCTGATTCATGTTCTTTTGTTACAGTTTTTGAAATTTCAAAATCATCTCGCAAAGTAATAAAATGTCATGATTCATTATGTCAAATATCTGAAGGAAGTACTCGTCAAATTAATAATCTACACAATGGTTGCTTATGTCCACATCTTAAAGTCTTTAGAGAATATTTTTATCTTGTTGAAAACACAGTAGAATCATTTTGTAATGACAATGATAAAGTGATCTCTTTTGATTCTGTGTTAGAGGATAATCTACCAAGGGAAAAGGTTTTTAGTTGTTTAAATTTTTTATTTATTTTTGGCTTTAGCGTAAATTTGTTGTGTAAATTCTTGTTTTTATTAGTGGGAAGATGTTTTTGATGTAGCATCTGGTTTGTGGACATTTGGAATTAATGCCCCAAGTAAAAAAACTGTTTCCAATGACCAATTTAATGAAAAATTTAGCAATGACATTGTAAAAAGACAGTCTGCTACCAATGGATATTGTTTTATGCCTTCTGTTGATCTAGACAACTGTGACTGTGGTGTAAGAACATTTTTTTTTTTTTAAGTTAAAAATAGTTGATTCAATTTAATGAAATGTTTTTACAAGTAAAAAAATTTATTAAATAATAATTGTGGTATATTCAAATAGTCTGGTAGTTACTAACATCCAACAACCAGGGTTCACTCGGTTGCAATGTGCTATGGGAAATCAAAGCACATTTACTATTTGACTTGAGTCAAGTACCTAGCTCCTGAAATACTGTTTCTACTCAGAATAGAACTTTGCCTGCATGGATGCTGAAATGTTAGTTTTAAGTAATTTAAATCAATCAGTATACCCTGTAATTAGCATTTCCTTTTTTGTTATCGTTTTTATACTTCACATCAATTCTATTCCAGGTAACAAAATCAACAAAAGTTACTGAATATATATATATGTGTATATATATATATATATATATATATATATATATATATATATATATATATATATATATATATATATATATATATATATATATATATATATATATATATATATATATATATAACAATTAGAACCAAACAACGGCAATTTTTAAACAAATTATGCACAGTTAGTTATCTAAAGTGATTAGAAATAAAAATCAAAATACATAAAAGTATTTAGGTTTATGTATGTATGCTTGTATTTATATATATTTGTGTGTACACATATATGTGTTACTCATCCAACGCATTCAATAACACTAACATACACTACAATATAAATGACAATTTGACCAACATGTGGAACTACTTCAAATTCAACAATATAAGTACCTTGTCATTTCACCAAAAAAAATGATTTAAGTACATATCAAGAATAAAGACAACAATGAATGGTTTTATAGAGAGTTAAAAAGTCTAAAAAGATTGCACAACGATTATTTTTTTTTTAAAAGATATGAACTGTTAGATCAAGAGCTTTTTCTGGTAATTTTTAAAGTTTTATTTATTAATTTGTTAATATTGTAACAATATATCATAACTTTATTTTAAATTTAGCTAAACTTAGTTTATTTTAAATTTAGTTAAACTAAAGATTTGTACTATCTTTTTGTAAAATAGAGAAAGAGAGCTTTTAAAAAATAGAAGATTTTTATTTATTTTGGTTATTTTACATACTTTTTTTAATATATATAAAAGTTTACGATTTATGATTAGACAGAAAAGAATACTTTGACTCAAATTAATGAAGTAACTTGTATTAGAATAAGAATTTAAATTCTTTATTTTAATTAACACGATTTTTTTTTTTATCTTTTAATACAAACTTTATTTATAAAACTATTGTTATTTTTTTAATTTCTTAAATAATCAAACTTAAATATTTGATTATTTGCAAAATATACTAATGCCAGAATGGGCATCCATTTGTATTGCTTCAGTATTTGAATTATTCATTCTACTGCAAAAATTGCTTTAATTTTTCCTTGATTAATGATGATTTAATGCTTGACAATGATTTAAAATTTTTTTTATTACAGGCTGGGTGGGTATCTGAATCTGTTTTATCTGGTTATACAGAATTTTACCATAAAATCAATATGTACACAGATCGTGAAGTAATTGAGTGTGATGTTTTTTTGAGAAAATGTTTATCCAATACTTGCATTAGTTATTGGGATGGCTGTGAAGACTCTGTTTTTTGCTTATCTAAATCCACTTGTGCTGGTTATGAACTAGGTAAAACCGAAAAAAGTTGTTCTGTTCATTTGCTCAAAAACTGAGTTAATTTTTTAATTTTGAATTTCTTGCAGGTTGGGAATTTGTCGATTTTGTTTTGTCTAAAGGAACATTCAGCGGTTTTGTCAATTTGTATTCAAACAAGTACAAACGTAGAAGTACCTCTTATTTGCCATTTATGTCTACACAAACATTTATTGATTGGTTTTTTGCTTGGGCCTCCCACATGCACATTGATTTTAGAGAAAAATGTCATATGTGTCCAGAAAATCAACAAATACCAGTTTTAGCTTGCGATGCGACAAAAATAGGAATTAGCTTTAAAAATTCTTTTGTAAAACCTATAGAGTCAGCTAAACTTTATGAGATTGTTCCAACACCATTACGGCGACTAGATAGATCATTTATTTTTAATTCAGAAAAATTAGATTCTAAACAGTTTTCCGAGGCTAGAGCTCATTTAAGAAAGATTTGTCTATATATTCTATCTGTTGAAAACTCTAATTATTTAAACTTTGATGCTGATACATTAAAGTTGAATTCGGTTCTTGTGAGTTATATTCCAGCTGAATGTGTACCATCATTTCAGCTAATGATTTCTGAATCACCTGTCCCAAATGTTTTGCGATGCTCCTATGCCAAAGTTTTTAAAATACTAGCTGCTGATAGCTCCCTTGATTCATTAGATTCATTAATATGAAAAATTCATATTAGTGATGTTGAACCAAATAACGCAGAAGTCATTGAAGGCACTTATAATCCACCGCGATATGGTAGAGCATATTATTTTGAAAAGCATGGGTGCCAAATAAGAAAAATGCGAGTGTTTTCTGCAGATAAAAGTTCCAGTAATAACATGTTTGATGATGTTCCATCAGAAATCTGCAATAAATTGTTTCCTCAAGTATCTAAAAAAGGTGTTTCTTTTCTTTTTTTATGATTTTGCCCTATACATGGCCATTGTTACGGATTCCATATTATCCCAGGGTCTGAGGGAAGAAAAGATCCACATGCCTCGTTGTATACACATCTTGAAGTTGCTCCAGAAAATATTGTGTATGACTTTGCTTGCAGCTTGTCAGAGTTTTGTCACAACCGTGAATCTGGTTATTTTAAAAATACCTCCTTTTTTCATGATGTATTTCATGGCTACACACATAAATGTGCTGATGTTTTTCGGTGTAATCGTTTGGGGAATTTTTATCCAATCAATTCATCTATCTGCGAACAGTTTAATAGCTTTTTGCAGAATATAAAATATTCTGCTAAATTAATGACACAAACACATTTTTGTTTTTATCTACAATTTTTTATTCATATTTGGAATCAGCGGAAAAAAAATTTATTTGAAAAAAGAATTATTGTATCAGAATGCACTAGAGAATAGCTATTTTAGAACATAATTTTGAAAATCTATCTATCTTTTATATCGTGAAAATCTAACTATTTTTCACATCATAAGAAAATATATTATACATTTTATTAAAAAACATTGTTAAAATCAAATCAAATTTTTGCAAGTAATAGTTAAATAATTTAACAGTTTACGTTATAGTATAGAATATATAGAATAAAGAATTGTATGCTGACTGATTGTCTGTTTCAGTTCATTCCATTAATGGAATACTGAATTAGTCATTCAGATAGCTCTGTACCAACATGCTACTTGCAAATGCCATATTTCACACAGTACAATAACAGTCGAAGTCAGTCAAATTAGAAGGTATGATAAATGTTCTTTACTAATTTATTAATAATGTTATTTTAAGAACTTATTTTCCACACGCAGCAGCCTTGTTTGTCAAGGTTTCGTATTTTAAAGTTTAAAAGTTGAGAAAGAGTTGTAATCACAATTTAAAAAAAAAAACCCTGAGGTGAGTAATAGAAAAAAAAAAAGAATATTGATCTTTATATTAAATTAAACAATTTATTTTAGATCTGTACACATTATATATGGCATATGCTAATAGCATATAAAGCTGTAGTTGCTTATTTCGATATATCGTATATTAATGGAATAAAGTGAGGCAGACAATCAGTCAGCAAAAATTTACTTTTCTTATGGTATAAGATGGTAATTTTACTATGAATTATTTATTTAATCATTTCTTGCATTACATTGTCGCAAGTTTCATATTTTGTCTGTTACCCCTCCTTTTAGAGTAACATTTTACTTGTAATTTTCTTGCATTTATTTTATTAAAATATTGTGATAAACGTTTTTAGTAGACATTTTTAATGGATAATGATTTTTTTTAAATCTTTTTGAAGTTCAATTATACAAGCAACTTAAGAACATTTCTAGTAGAATGAAGTTGCATACAGTTTAAGTTTTATAATTGTTTTTTTATTCGTTTTAAAATAATGACAAGGAAAGATTTTATAATAATGACAATGAAAGGTTTTATTTCAGTCAACTTCTTTTGATATTTAAAAAAATGTTGTATAAACAAATGACGTAAATTAAATTGTTTGTCAATAACTTGAGTTGCTAGTTATGATTTTTATGTATAAATTCATCGTTATTTAATCAAACATCATATATTGTTAATTTTATAAAATCAAGTTTTTGTCAACGTCCTTTTTTTTATTTTAACGTCCTTTTTATTATTAATATTTTTGTCAACCCAATTGTATGTCTTATATTTGACACCTAAAGTTTGCTCAGCACATTCAAAAACTTTTCTTCTATCATTCGATGAAGATAAAACATTATGTTTTCTTTCAACTTGTTCAGTTGTATGTATTTCATGTATACAAATTGGACAAGGTGGTTCTGGTTGTTCCAGAAGTGAATGTAAACAAATTTGGTGAAATAAATGCTTGCATGGATTCAATTTAACAACAGACTTTCTGTTTATAGTGTATTGTACAAAAAACACAACAAACTTTCAATTCCATCACTGTAGTACTGTAATGCTGACGCATACAAATGCCAAATGCTAAATTTGACATTATTAACTTATTAAAATGCATGTCCAAGAAGAATTTTTATAATGACCTTTAAGCTTACATTGTGAATTGTGCAACTACAAATAATGTATTCTCATTTACATAACTTTTGTTTTTCTAATAACATACTCTGATTTCTTATTTATATGTTGTTTTACTTAATTACATATCGTGACTTTTAAACTACATGTTGTATTTGTCAATTATATCTTACTTTTCTTAATTACTACTTTCAAGTTCTAAAATACACCTTGAAAAGGTGTAGTTCCTAAGGGATTTTCCATAAATTACACAACGCTAAATTTATTTTAAAAACAGAACTAAACAGATCTTAAGCTCTTTTACAAGGCCATTTTCATTTAACTTAATGCTATTTGTATTTTGATTTAACTTAATGCTCGGCAAAGATAACCTTTTTTATTTTGATTTTGTAGTGAAATTTAGCTTTATGTAATTTAATCTAACCCAATGATAAATTGTATAAAGCATTACAAGCTCAGTTATTACACATCCATTCAATATATCAAACAAAAATTCTATTGCAACCAAAAAATCAAGAGACAAATGGAAAAAGAATTTGATTCACTTTGAGAAAAGTAAAAGATTATGTAAAAGTAAATCTGGAGAATGCTTAGGAACAATATGTAAAATGCCCAAAAATTGGCAAATAATTAACTGATGCACCAGCTTGGCACCAGACTGTATAGACTTTTTCCATTTGTCTCTTGATATTTTGGTTGCAATAGAATTTTTGTTTGATATATTGAATGGATGTGTAATAACTGAGCTTGTAATGCTTTATACAATTTATATATAAATGTGAAATATACAATTTATACAATTTATGTATAAATGTAAAAGGAATAATAAAAAAAATTTCAGATGAATGTTTAGAACTATGGGCTAATTTGAATTTTCCAACATAAGATAAAAGATTAGTACCAAGAATAATAGAAAAATTAATTAAAAAGAGACATATAGAAACCAAAAAACAGGTACTTATAGTTTTGATGGTTTATTACAAATAACGAAAGAGAATGAACTTTGGTTACATTCTGAAGATTAAAGTCTTTACTAGAAAGCAATTAGAGACATCTGGTAGAGTTGGATATACTAGAATGAATCTTGATGATCCTAAAAAAAACATTCCATTGATGCCATCAACTTCAATTCGGGATGAATACAGAGAGGAACACGAAATTAGTAAAGTCAGTAAGTGACAATGGCAGTGATCATGAACCTTCAATAAATAATAATTTTAATAAACAAAAATTTAAACAGAGGAAAGTGGAGGCTGTTAAACTAGTTTGTCAAACAAAGCTAAGTACACGAAAAGCTGCCAGAGTGTTTCAACAACTTCAGATGGCTGGTGTCAATCTTCCTGCACCAACTCAACCAACATTCTATATGGCAGCCATCAGAGAAAGTAAAAAGTTACAAGATAAATTGAAAAAAGAATTGAAGGTTGAGAACTAGTGTTTGCATTTTTATTTTTTTCAGGTGCCCCAAGAATTCCTTATGGTCTTATCACAGAGCCCTGTGGAAGAGCATTTAAAAGGAAGTTCATGCATCGTTTCTTACCAATGTTAAATAACTTACCCAGAGGTGGTGTTGAACTATGGATCACTAGTTTCTGAGGCAAGAGCGCTAACCACTGCGCTACAGCAGTGGTTATATATATATATATACAACCACTGCTTATATATATATAATAACCACTATATATATATATATATAACCACTATATATATATATATAACCACTGCTTATATATATATATAATAACCACTATATATATATATAATAACCACTTATATATATATATATATAACCACTGCTGTAGCGTGGTTATATATATATATATATATATATATATATATATATATATATATATAAATATATATATATATATATATATACATATATATATATATATATATATATATATATATATATATATATATATATATATATATATATATATATATATATATATATATATATATATATATATATATATATATATAGTAGCAAAAAAAAAGTAACAATAGAAAAATTCCCAACTATAAGTAAAATCAATACAAATATTTAACTTTTTATAAATACAGTATGTCAATATTATATATATATATATATATATATATATATATATATATATATATATATATATATATATATATATATATATATATATATATATATATATATATATATATATATATATATATATATATATATATGTATATATATATATATATATGTATATATATATATGTATATATATATATATATATATATATATATATATATATATATATATATATATACATATATATAATTAAGCCTATGGCTAGTTATAATTGTATTAAAACTATTTTTAACAAATGTTGGATGTTTATCCCCACCAGTTATGGAGAGGATGATCCTCTCCATAACTGGTGGGGATATTTGACTTTCAAACTTAGGTAGAAAAGAAATGAAAATGGTTTAGTAAAAAGATTATATAATATAATATATATATATATATATATATATATATATATATATATATATATATATATATATATATATATATATATATATATATATATATATATACACACACACACACACACATATATATATATATATATATATATATATATATATATATATATATATATATATATATATATATATATATATATATATATATATATATATATATATATGTATATATATGTATATATATATATATATATATATATA